TTGAAATGTAATTATTATGTGCAATTTTGTGTAATTAAAATTTTTCAGTGTGCAAGACTTTTGTCCAGGTAGTGTATGTATGATATAAATATACTTATCTGGTAATGTTATCAAAGAAATTATGGTTTTAATATAATTTAACAATAATAGATAATTACCGATTTTTTAGAAAATTATTAAATATTAAGTATGTAATTACCTATAATTACTGATCATTTTTTATCATAAAAGGTATTTTAGCATTTTCAATAATTTTCAATAATTATAAAAAGGATGGAACATATAACTGTAGAGTATTATCGCGCCGGACTCCTTATTTATCACCGGGAGCTATTGAGGAAATCATTCAATCTCGAGGGACAGTTAAAAATGTATTCAGGGAAATGGCTGATAAATATAGTACCTCAACTCGTAGAATATATGAAATTTGGAAAAGACATGCTGAAGGAATACCCTTGCGCAAACAGCAACTAATACATAATGTTGTTTCTTCTGAAATAATGCCTGAAAATAATACTTCAGATAGAAAGTCAAAGAAAAGAAAACCAGGATCCGGTTCTAGATCTGTTCGAATATCTGATTCAGTCAATATTAGGTCAGAGGCTAGCTTTTCATCTAATAAGGCTGGCATAACTAAAAAAAGTAGATGAAATGGATGACTTACAAGTTAAGCTTGCACAAAATCGTAAAGAAAGGGAAGAAGCTAAACGTGAGACGAAAAGGGTCTTAGATTCCAACTAATCTATTTTTGTTTTTTCTAAAGTAGTTTGCAATCTACATACCGTTTCAATATCAGACTCATTTCTATAAGCCCGTGGTTTTTTATTAAGCTCGATTAATTCGGTATTGGATTCGAGTACCTCATATAGTGATTTTTCTAACTCCTCACAATTCACGCATTTTTTTTTAAAATTCGGATTGACAGAATCTAAGCTAAAACCCGCAGGAGCATGCCATTTCTCGAATAGAATATTGTTTTCTTCACCCCATCTATCTTCTGGTAAAGTTGATCGGATACCAAAGGCTTATCATCCTGAGATGCGGTAGCACAATTTACTTCAAGTTTATTCTTGACTTTGTGCATAGTAACCGGAATAATAAAATCTTCTCCATTATAATGAATCTTCATTTTATCATTACTCCAATCAATAGCACATTTATATTTCTTGAGAAGTGGATTTGGGAATATTAACATTGGTTTATGGTGTTTTACAACCACAAAATCTTCATATATGGTACAACCAGAAGTTAGTGTGATAGGTAATTTACGTACAGTCCCGGAAAATAATAATGGCGGTGCCTATTAAATGCAATTTCCACAAATACAAAGTGTTTACATATAAGTTAAACTTTTGGCAGTAGTTAATGTTGTTCACGATAACAAATTCTACTTGTAATAAA